CTGACCTCGGGCAGTCTGCCTGCCTTGGCCACCCAAAGTGCTGGGATTACAGGCATGAGCAACCACGCGCCCAGCCAGCCAAGTCCAGTTATTTGGTCTCCCTCCCCAACTCATTCCACATGGCTTTGTGGAAGAGGGAAAATACCTGAACAATATCAGGGTCCTCTTGGAAAGGAGAAAGGAGAAAGGCAGATAAATTGTTAGTGACTAGAATACAAAGTGTCATCTGTACCAGGTGGTTCATATATTTTCCATAGCATCTGAAATTTGAGCAACTTGATTTAAGGGAGTTATAACTCAAGTTAGCTTTACTGAGCACATACGTAGTAGGTGCTCAAAAAATACGGTAGATGATGGATAGAGTAATAAGATGCAGATTTCTTTTGCATTAACAATCTCTGAAGCTTCTTAACAATTAATAGTATCTTACAATTAATAGTAATTGCTGTCATTGACATCCAGCAGTTTGTCTTTTTCTTTACATTCACAAAGGTAGGAAACTTCCAGATCTTAGTACTTGATAAAAGACCAGGTGTTTTCATGCATGAACTTCTTCCTAGCATTTCTTGGGAAATGTACGTTTTTTTTGAATTCTGAGAAAAAGTACTCAAGAAGTTTAATAAATGGAAAGCATTATTCTAATTGTCTTATTAGAATTAGTTTTAACAACACAGAAACATTACTGATTTGAAGGAATCTACTTAGGGCAAGTTGAAAGTAAAAACTAGAAATACTGATACCTGGAATCAAAGGTTAAGGTCAACAGTAGCTCCTTGGAAAGAAGTGATTACAAATCAGTCTTCATTATAAATATTGCCATTTTATGTGTGTTCATGGCCCTGTCTGCTAAGTAAATATTAATGAGTTTACACATGGTATACTTAGTAAAAATTGAGTGGTGTTCCAAGAAATAGAATTTGAAGCAAAATCCTTATATTGGCATTTTGTGATTCTGCACAGTACTATAAACCTTACTGAGTTCTAAATGTTACATTATTCACATACTAGCCAGTAGTACCCACATGCAGTCTAGCATTTGAATATTCACTATAGGCCTCAGTTCTTACAAATACTAATTAAATGATTTTTTTTAAAGATAACACATGTAGGCTGGATGCGGTGGATCACAAGGTCAGGAGTTCGAGACCAGCCTGGCCAATATGGTGAAGCCCGTCTCTACTAAAAGTACAAAAAAATTAGCTGGGCGTGGTGGCACATGCCTGTAATCCCAGCTACTCGGGAGGCTAAGGCAGGAGAATTGCTTGAACCTGGGAGGTGGAGGTTGCAGTGAGCAGAGATGGCGCCACTGCACTCCAGCCTGGGTGACAGAAGGAGACTCCGTCTCAAAAACAAAAAAAGGAAAAAAGATACACATGTAATGAATAAAGAGTTTGAAAAATATATTTAATAACTTCTTTTAAAGAATAATGTAGATTTTGGGAATTCCAGAGAGTTCCAATTCATTGTGTTTGAATCCTGAAGATTGGTGTTTGTCAGGAATTCAGAAACACTAAGAGATCAAATTTGTGCCTTGAAGTTCAACTCTGTGTGTTTTAGTGTTTTCAGCAACAGTTCCATGAAGGGCCACAAGGTGGAGGTGGTACTTCACAGAACTAGCTAGTTTTGGCCTCTTAATGAAAAGTCTCTTTAATGGTCTCTGCTCTTTTTCTTTTTCATCTACTTCATTAAATTGTTGTAAACTCTTCACTTTTAGAACAGGAAAGGTTTTTTTTTTTTTCTTTGCTGAAGATGGAGACAATTTCTAAATATTTAAGGCAGAAATAATGCTAACCAAACTCTTCTTGAGAACAGAAAAGGAAGAGTGCACCACTGAAGCCATGTGGGGCCACAGTTGCCTTCGTTGGAAGCTTTTTTAACTAAAGCAGATTTTATTTCTTTAAAAGTTAAAATACCCATCTATTTTTCCTTGAGTAAGCTTTGGTAGTTTATAGCAATGAAAGAATTTGCTCATTTCATCTGTTTTTGGTTTCATGAGCATACAGTTATTTATAGTATTTTATTATATTTTACTGTTTATAGAATCTGTAGTTGATGTCCTCTTTCATTCCTGATATTAGAAATTTTGTTTGCTCTTTTTTTTGTTAGTGAATCTACCTAGAGGCTTTTTTAACTTTATTGATCTTTTCAAAGAAACACCATTTTGTTTCATTGTGGCTTTTTTGTTTTTCTGCTGATTTTATTATTATTTTTTTATTATTTCCTTCCTTTTACTTGCTTTGGGTTTAATTTCCTTTTTCTAGTTTCTTAAAGTAGTAGTTTAGATTATTGATTTGAGATATTTTCTCTTCTAACACTTAATGGCATACTTTTCATTTTAAGCAGTGCTATAGTCACATCCCACAAATTTTGGTATATTTTTATTTAATTCAGAATGTTTTTTATAATTCTACAAAATTTTCATCTTTTTTCCTTTTTTTTTTTAATTATACTTTAAGTTCTAACTTTTTTCCTGTTATCTGTTGTCTCTTCTTTGTTATTTTTGCTATCTCTACGACACTCTATTTGACACAGTTTAGACCAGTCCCTTTATCCCCTTGTTTCTTAATTCTTCCTTCCTTCCTCTGTTCCTCAGGGTATTGTGTTCTGTTGCCCAGGCTGGAGTACAATGGTACAATCACAGCTCACTGCAGCCTTGAACTCCTGGGCTCGAATGGGCCTCCCTCCTCAGCCTCCCTAGAAACTAGGACAATCACAGGTGCGCACCACTGTGTGCCTGGCTAATTTTTAATTTTCTTTTTTTTTTCTTTTCTTTTTTTTTTTTTGGTAGAGTTGGGGCTTTGCTAAGTTGCCCAGGCTAGTCTCAACCTCCTGGGCTCAAGTGATCCTCCTGCCTCAGCCTTTCAAGTAGCTGGGACTACAGGCATGTGCCACCAGGCCTGGCTGATGAGCATTTTATCTGGCTTTAAAGCCCTTAAATCCAAACATCTGTGTCATCTTATCATTGATGTTTGTTGGCTGTCTTTTCCTGGTTTTTCATATGCTGAGTTATTTGGGGTTGTATCCTGGACATTTTCATTAGGATTTTTTTTTTTTTTTTCCAAATAAGACTCTGGGTCTTATATTAATCTGCCAGTTTTGTTGTCATTCAAATTCCGGCTTCATCAGTATGCCTGTTTCTATTTACTTTTCAAAGTAAATAACTATGAATATCCTTAAATAACTATGCCACCCATCTCTCCAGGTTTTATTGCTACTTTCAGTGGGAAAGATAGAGTGGAATGTGCTTACTCCATTGTACCTAGAACCTTCCTTCCAGAGAGGATTTTACTTTTGCTTTACTCAAATAACACTAGCTCCTGAACAATTTTTATGTCAATTTCTTGAAATTTGAACCTCAACCTTAAATCCCAAACCTAAATTAGGCCCGTAAATCTTACTTTGAATTTTGAGGTAAGACTTTTTTCCCCCTCTTCAGAGCCCAGTAGAAACAGACAAAATTCCTTGCTGTTTTCCTATGCCAGTAGCCAGACATTTTTCTGGTCTGTTCTTTAATAGAAATTTTAACATTGGCCAAGCATGGTGGCTCATTCCTGTAATGCCGCCATTTTAGGAGGCCAAAGCGGGTGGGTCACTTTAGCTCAGGAGTTGAAGATCAGTCTGGGCAACATGGCAAAATCCCATCTCTACTAAAAAATTACAAAAACTAGCCAGGTGTGATGGCACAGACCTGTTGGGAGGCTGAGGTGGGAGGATCACCTGAGCCCTGGGAGGTTAAGGCTGCAGTGAGCCATGGTTGCACCACTGTTATCCAGCCTGGGTAACAGAGTGAGACCCTGTCTCAAGAAAACAAAAATTGTAACATTATGCAGGGGGTGGAGTTTTAGTCTCACTTTCAATTCCCTTTCTGTAGGGGGTTCATTTTTCTATCCCAAGGCAGTGTTTAAAAATCCTCATATGAAACTCTCCAGGGCAGCCGTGGGCCCTGATCCACTAATGAAAGTTCCTTATCCTTCTTTGTTTCTGACACTTGGGGATTTCCTTTCTGCCTTTTAATGTGCTTATTCATTAAAATAATGTTTTACATTGTAAGGATTTGTAGCAGAAAGATTTTCAGGTTTTCTTGATTGCTATCTTGCTGAAACAAATACTTTTTATAGAATTGTTCTTTTAAAAATCAACTGATGTGGCCAGGCACAGTGGCCTGTAATCCCAGCATTTTAAGAGGCTGAAGTGGGAGGATCTCTTCTCAAGTCAGGAGTTCGAGACTAGCCTGGGCAACATATTATAGCAAGACCCTATCCCTCTAAAAAATGTTTAAATTAGCAGGGCATGCCCTGCTATGTACATACATGACACAGGTATGTGTCATGTACCTGTGGACCTATCTACTTGGGAGGCTAAGGCAGGAGTATCCCTTGAGCTCAGGAGTTTGAGGCTGCAGTGAGCTATGATCAGGCCACTGCAGCCCAGCCTACGGTAACAGAGCAAGACCCTTTCTCTCAAAAAATAAAAATAAATAAAAATCAACCGGCATACACAAAAAAATTAGATGCCCAATTAATACAAACTAATTTATTATTAGAACTGCCAGAATTTCTAATATTCATCTAACATGTGGATTTGTATAACACATTTATATTTATGTTTTAGGCTAGGGACTATAATTATGTCTATAATGAATCAGGATTAAAAGTTCCTGTTATCTCTTGTGACTGAAAAAATAAACAGTGTTTGATTTGGAAAAAAAATATTATCAGTATAATGAAATTAATGCTGGTTTCAAATGATAACTTTCAGGTACTATGGAAAGGGCAATTTTAAACTTTGAGAACAAAAATAAAACCACCGCTCTAAATAGCTAAAGAGAATCGAGGTTTGTGTGGTTACTTTTGTCTTTGTTTTGTTGTGTTTAGTTTGTTGAATTCTTGGCATTCTATGTAAAATTCAATAGGAATCTCAGTTTAGTAGTTAAGGAGATCTGTTTCCTTTCACTTACGGTGGTTTCTTTTCAGAAACATGTTCTCCTTCCTTCCTGCCAGGAATGAGTAGCGACAGTGACATTGAATGTGACACTGAGAATGAGGAGCAGGAAGAGCACACCAGCGTGGGCGGGTTTCACGACTCTTTCATGGCCATGACACAGCCCCCGGATGAAGGTGCAGCACATGATGTCATTTTACACAGATTAATAAACCCGCCGCTGCTGCTTCTCTTTCTTCTTCTGCTGCTACTTCTGCTTCTTCCGCTCTGCTGCTTTTGCTTCTTCTGCTTCTACTTCTTTTTTTAATTATTGTCATTTACGAGACAATATTCTTTGGTAAACTATTATGGTGAGTACTGAAAAAACACAGCTGGTAATATTTGGCTGAGTTGCACCTAATGAGTGCTACTTACTGGGTAGAGAAGGGGTCCACAACCTGCTTTTGTGTAGTCTGTGACCTGAGAATGGTTTTTACTTTGTAAAGAGTCTTAAAAAAACAAGCAAAAGAAAGAAGAGTTTTGTGTTTTTTTTGCCCTGAGACAGAGTCTTGTTTTGTTGCCAAGCTATAGTGCCGTGGCATGATCTTGGCTCACTGCAACCTCCGCCTCCTGGGTTCAAGTGATTCTCCTGCCTCAGCCTCCCGAGTAGCTGGGATTATAGGCACACACCACCACGCCTGGCTAATTTTTTTGTATTTTTAATAGAGATGGAGTTTCACCATGTTGGCCAGGCTGGTCTCAAACTCCTAACCTCATGAACCATCTGCCTTGGCCTCCCAAAGTGCTGATATTACAGGCATGAGCCACCACGCCTGGCCCAAAGAAGAATTTTCAACAGAGTCCGTTTGTGGTCTACAATGCCTAAATATTTACTATCTACCCTTCACAGGAAATGATTGCCAACCCTGGGGAGATTTCAGATGTTTGGATTTTTTTCCTTTTCAGAGATTTTTCTAGCCTACTGTAGGATAACTTTAACCTTTTAAAACAAAAATAACTTAGAAATACATGCAGATTGTGAAATCAATTTTTATTCCCTCCTACCTCCAAAAAAGTTATTAGGAAAAAACTCAACAAGAGAAACCTAATGTTAATATTTTACCTTGTTTTCTTCTGTTCTTATTTGCATTTCTTCTTCTTTTTTTTTTTTTTTTAGATAGAGTCTTGCTTTGTCTCCCAGACTGAAGTGCAGTGGCACGATCTTAACTCACTGCAACTTCTGCCTCCCAGGTTCAAGCAATTCTCCCACCTCAGCCTCCTGAGTAGCTGGGACTACAGGCACGTGCTACCACATCCAGCTAGTTTTTGTAATTTTTAGTAGAGACAGGGTTTTGCCATGTTGGCCAGCCTGGTCTCGAACTCCTGACCTCAGGTGATCTGCCCACCTCGGCCTCCCAAAGTACTGGGGTTACAGGTGTGAGCTACTGTGCCAGCCCTACCTAAATATTTTATAAATAGTGTTGTATTCTGCTTTTTTCACTTAAATATATTTGTATGTTATTTAAAATTTCATAAACTTCATTTTTTATGGCAACCTAATACTCTGTCATGTGGATATACCATACGCATTCTGCTGTGAAGCAGTTTTCTGGAATACAGATTAATCAAGAAAAGGATATCCTGTCAAGTTAGAGAAATACACATTTAAAGTTACCCAGAGGCCTTAATAATCAATCTGAGCATTCCTCTGCAAGGTATCCTGGAGTGACAACATTGTCAAGCCTTTGCTAATTGTCTGCTTTATATTTTACATATTTTCCTGGTGTTCTGATATCTTTTTCAATACAGAACCAAGCATTTGGAATATGTTTTAATACAGAATATGTTTGGAATATGTTTCAATACAGAACCAGTTATTTGGAGTGCTGTTTGTACTCACTTTGTAGTGATATTTGCATGCATAGTTTAATTGGCTTTGAAATATGTTTTATGTTTATAAGGTCTTGAATCTTGAGAATATACATCATTGCTTCTTGTTCCCTTCTTAAACTCCCCAGATTGTCCCCAGGAGGACAAAATGAGACAATTCCTGTCATCTTTTAATTGTGGGTCTATTACACATTTTGTTTTTTCTCCTTTATTTTTCCTTTGTGTTTGATTATACCTGACTCAGATCACAAATTCTCTGAAGACAGAGATTTGTTCACAACTCAGCACATCTTTATCGCTTAAATAACGTATTTGGTAAGATCATTTAAAGACTTGAGAAGGAAAATACTCCCCTTGTTATATTATATGCTTTTAAATTTAAAATGGTTTATTTATCTATTTTTCAATCATAGATACACATTCCAGTTTTCCTGATGGTGAACAAATAGGCCCTGAAGATCTCAGCTTCAATCCAGATGAAAACAGTGGAAGGTAATTGCCAAATCAAGAGAACTGACTTGCAGGCTACCTTGACCCTGAATTTTGCTGTAGTTGGTGCTCAAATTTGTCATCAGTCAGATAATCAGATTTGGTCTTATTTTTTCATTATCTCGACCTGAAATAGTAATTTGGAAACTGTTGGAAGGTGGCACAGTTTAGTCTAAGACAGCAGTAGCACATGGCAAAAACAGTATGGGAAGAGTTCTTTGTAATGTGAGGAAATAGCAATGTAGTTCTCTATTAATTTAGCAAATTTGTACGTTCACAAAAGGCAGTTTGTCTATTACAGCAGAAGGCTGATTAACTGCCAGAAAATGTACCTCTAGGCCCTGCATGCCGTCAGTAACCTGCCTGGCATTGGTGCTCTTCTGTCTTTGGCTAGAGCTTAGTTGTGTTTAAATAATCACCTTTATATTTGGGGTTTTAATTACAGTTTAATTACAGTTTCATTAGTTCCTGTAGATTAGTGAACAGAACAGTTGCTTATGAAGAGATTCTGCCCTGTAGACACTTTATGTGAATAACTGAAGTAACACTAGACTGAATCTCCTTTTTGGAGTGTGTATCTTCTCTCACTTGTTCAGGCACAGGCACACTGTTTAATGGCATGGAATCTTTCTGTTGTGTGACTTCTGCACATGTAATTTTAAATGAATTAAGTTCACCTGGATTCGTTAACGTTCCTGGACCTGTAGACACATGTAAGATTATTTAAAATCCTTTCATTTTTTCTGCCTCTTACCATACGACTATAGTGCAGCAAATATTTTAAAGCCCCCTTCTTTATTTTCATTAGTTGTACATTGATTTCAGTGTCAGCACCTTTAAAGACTCATTCATGTTGCACAGTGGCTTACATGAATGTGAAACTGTGGTATAAGGTTTTCTTTCATACTCATAATTAGCCCAAAACAGTTGCCACACTTTGCCATTGTGCTCCTGCATTTGTGTTTGAGTTGCTATATATTTGTGAAAATTACACTGAAAGTTGACTAAGAGACTATTGAAAAAGCATGAATAATTAAATATACATGTGGGCAACATCTCATCTGCTGTATTTTACTTAGTGAATATTGTTCACTATTCCGTGTCTTATGTCTTGCTGAATGCTGTGACTCACAGTTTACTTTTGTTCAAAATAGTTTGCACTTTTTGTTAATAAAATCAACTTGAGAAAATATGCCTCTGCTATTTATTAAATTGGGACCAGAAACCCCTTTTTTCTACTCATTGACTATGGCTGTTTAGTAGTGTAGAGAAGATCCAAACATTTGATTAGTTTGTTTTGTGTTTAGTCTCATGGTGAGGAGTGATGCCTAGCATCCATCCCAGTCATTCTAAAATTAGAATAAACCAGAAAGACCAAAAGGTTTCTTCAGAGATGATAGCTTTTAGTTCAGACCTGTTCGCTTTAGGACAGGACAGTAGTTTCTCCCTCGTTGCCCAGCTGTCTTATATACTAAGGCTGCTCCGAGTTCCTCAGTGATGCCGGGAACACCGCTGTTTCCTCTCTTGCTTGATGTAGTTTGCTGTGCTAACATTTAGGTAGCAGAGAGGGAAGGAAAAGGCACAGGAAAAGAACCAGTTACTCCACTCTCTGCTTGTCCTACTTTTTTGCTCTTTCTGTACCCTGATAGAGCCCTCAGCATGTTTTTTATTTTTAATTTTGTAACCTTTCCTTTTTTGCTGAAGAACTGTCTACTGTTACCTTGCTTCTGTATTTAGTGTTTTATCTCAAGTTCATTCCTGGAAAATCTCCCCTGAATAGAGTTTTCTCTTAGGGCTAGAGATATATTAATGCTTGTGTTGTCCATGAACATGTCCTTTCTGGACAACTTTAACTACTTGTGTCATTGATCCTTAAGTAACCTTTGAGGTAGATGAGTTGTATATCAAACCTGTTTGGCCGTGGAGCCTGAGTTTCGGGGAGGTTGTATGATTCTCTTAAGGTTCAATCCCACTGGCAGGGATGGGGTGAACTGCTGGTCTAGTGCCTTTTCCACTTTATCTCGCTTGCACCAAACCCAACATTCTGATACCAAATAATTTAAAACCTAAAGATTATTCTTTGTTTTTAGCTTTTAATTTTGAGATAATTTTAGATTTGCACAAGAGTTGCAAAAATTGTACAAGAGTTTCCATATACCCTCTGCCCAGCTTCTCCTTTTGTTAATGCCTTACATAATTACAGAATGGTGATCAAAACTAAGAAGTTAATCCTGGTTATAATATTGTTAACCAAATTACAGAATTTGTTCAGATTCCACCATTATTTCACAAATGTTCTTTTTCTGTTCTAGGATCCGGTCTAGGATCCCACATTGTATTTTGTTGCCATGTTTCCTTGGGATCCTTCAGTATGTGACAGCTCCTCCGCCTTTCCTTGCTTTCATGACCTTGATATTTTTGAAGAGGATGTGTTATTTTCTTAAATGTTCTTCTTATTTGGGTTTGTCAGATGCTTTCTTATATTAAATTGAGGTTATGCATTATTGAGAAGGCCCTTCTCAGTGCATCACATCAGGGGGGATATGATGTTGATATATCAATATACATATATATATATATATATATATATATATTTTTTTTTTTTTTTTTTTTTTTTACGGAGTCTCACTGTGTCACTCCAGGCTATATGCAGTGGCACCAGCTTGGCTCACTGCCAGCCTCTGCTTCCCAGGCTCAAGTGATCCTCCCACCTAAAGCCTCCTGAAGTAGCTGGGCTATAGGTGTCCACCACCACACCTGGCTAATTTTCCTATTTTGTTGGGAGATGGGTTTCACACCATGTTGCCCAGGCTGGTCTCCAACTCCTGAGCTCAAAACGATCCCCTGCCTAGCCTCCCAAAGTGCTAGTGGATTGTAGGCTAGATTGCAGGTGTGCTCTCCTGGCCTGAATGTTGATATGTTTGGTTTTTGTTTTTGTTTTGTTTTTTTTGAGATAGGGTCTCACGTGTTGGCCAGGCTGGAGTGGCAGTGGCATGATCTCGACTCACAGCAACCTCTGCCTCCCTGATTCAATTCATTCTCCTGCCTCAGCTCCCAAGTAGCTGAATTACAGGCACGCACCCCACACCCGGCTAATTTTGTGTTTTAGTAAGACCGGAGTTTCACCATGTTGGCCAAGGCTGGCCGCGAGCTCTTGACCTCAAGTGATCCACTTGCCTGGCCTACCCAAAGTGCTAGATTAGAGGCATGAGCCACTGTGCCCAGCCCTGATGTTGATATTTTTTATTGGTGAACTAAACGGTGAGGAGATTACTGGTTAAGGTGGTTGTTTGTGAGGATTCTTATTTTTTTTTTTTTTTGAGACGGAGTCTCGCTCTGTCGCCCAGGCTGGAGTGCAGTGGCCGGATCTCAGCCTCACCTGCAAGCTCTGCCTCCCAGGTTCACGCCATTGCCGGCTGCACTCAGCAATAATCCGAGTAGCTGGGAAAACTCACCAGGCCGCCCGCCACCACTGCCTGGCTTAATTTTTTTTGTATTTTTAGTAGAGACGGGGTTTCACCATGTTTGCCAGGATGGTCTCAATCTCCTGACCTTGTGATCCGCCCACCTTGGCCTCCCAAAGTGCTGGGATTGCAGGCGTGAGCCACCGTGCCCAGCCTTTGTGAGGATTTCTTACTATAGATTTACGTTTTTACCCCTTTGTAATTACTAAATATTTGGGGCAGATACTTTGAAACTATGCAGATACCTTGTTTCTATTAAACTTTTTTTTTTTTTTTGGAAGACAGAGTCTGGCTTTGTTACCTATTCTGTCGTGGCGCGATGTCGGCTCACTAAGCCTCAAACCCCTGGGCTTAAGCGATCCTCCCACTTCAGCCTCCTGAGTAGCTGGGACTACAGGCATGCGCAGTCACACCGGGAGAATTTTTGTGTTTTTTGTAGAGATGGGGTTCTTGAGCTCTTGGGCTCAAGCAACCCTCCCGCCTCAGCCTCCCAAAGTGCTGTGATACAGGCATGTGCCACTGCGCCCGGCACCCGGCCAAAACTCTCACTTACTAATTTTAGCACCTAGTAGTTGATCTTGCATATGGAAATTGTTACTGTAATGTTTTAATGGTAATTTTCTAATTCCTTAATTTCTTCTATGTTTTTTGTTAGAATGCTGTAAGGACAAGTCCTTTCTTCCCCGTTTTTGTAATTTCAGCTACTTATTTATATCAGCTACTTTATATATCTATATATGATGGATATTTATTTTGTTTTTGAATTAATATTTTGTAGCTTGGCTTGTTCTGGTTTCAGCCATTGGAAACTCTTCCAGATTGGCTCCTGTGCCCTTTTCATATGTCTCATTCTTGTTGTTGTTGTTTTTAAGCATTTCTTTGCTTTCTGACATCACAAGATACCTACCCTAGCCATGGAATTAACCACTTCCTGGAGAACCATGGTTCTTATTATTGGAGAATGCTATTTAGAAACAAAGATTTGGATGCCACGTATTTATTATTATTAGACTGTCACTGCTTCTAGTCCCACTCAGTGGATACATAGAAAATGTAAATTGGCTGGGTGTAGTGGTGCGCACCTGTGGTCCCGGCTACTTGGGAGGCTGAGGTAGGAGGATCACTTGAGCTTGGGAGGTAGAGATTGTAGTGAGCCAAGATCGTGCCACTGCGCTTCAGCCTGTGTGACAGAGTGAGACCCTGTCTCAAAAAAGAGAATATGTATGACTGGGCACAGCAACTCATGCCTCTAACCCCAGTACTCAGGGAGGCCAAGACAGGTGGATCACCTGAGGTCAGGAGTTCAAGACCAGCCTGACCAACATGGAGAAACCCCATCTCTACTAAAAATACAAAATTAGCCAGATGTGGTGGCACACGCCTGTAAACGCAGCTACTCGGGAGGTTGAGACAGAATTGCTTGAACCTGGGAGGTGGAGGTTACGGTAAGCCGAGATCTTGCCATTGCACTTCAGCCTGGGCAACAAGAGCAAAACTCCATCTCAAAAAAGAAAAAAAAAAAAAAGAAAGAAAATACATATAGACAGCTGTTCCTCAGTATCTGTGAGGAATTGGTTCCAAGACCCTCTGTGGATACCAAAGTCCACAGATGCTTAAGTCCCTTGTATAAAATGGCATAGTGTTTGCATATAACCTATGCACATCCTCCTGGATACTTTGTTTTGGTTTTGAGACAGGGTCTCATTCTGTTGCCCAGGCTGGGGTGCAGCTGTGCATAGCTCACTGCAGCAATGAACTCTTGGGCTCAAGCAATCCTCCCACCTCAGCCTGTCAGGTAGCTGGGACTACAGGTGTGAGCCACCACACCTGATCTCCCAGATACACTAAATCATCTCTGGATTACCTATAATACCTAATACAATGTAAATAAATACAATGTAAATTATTGTTGTGCTATTTTTTTAAAAATAAATTCTGTCCATTGTTGGTTGACTCCATGGATGCAGAAAGCAAAGATATAGAGGGCCAACTGTATAGTTACTCATGCAAATACACACATTTATATGTATTTCTGTACATATCTGTGTGTGTGTGTCACTATGACTGTGAGTCTACACTGGTAACAGTTCAACTCCAGAGGCCTCATTCTGGTCTTCCCTCTTATTTAGAATGCCTTTCTCTGACAGGAGCCTAGCTCTCATTAGCTATGATGCATGTATGCACTTGCTCAACTCGAATATACAAGTAGCTTCAGAACCGTTGGCCTCCTGTGGATTCCAGGCTGTGCCCTACAAAAAACAAATTTACCACCTAAAATACAGTGCTTGTATACAGTTCTTTCAGTCTTTAGCTTTTCAGTATCGTGTCATAACATTTTTTTTCAAAGATATTTAGGTCCTTAGATTCAAAATTACATTAATTCTTTTCTTTCCCATTCCCTTCATTGTGATATTGTGCCTCGTTGGTGTAACAGTTAGGTTCATCTGTTATGGTCTACATTCTGTCCTCCCCCACATATCCTGGTTAATTTGTAAATTTACATACATTAAAATTCAGTCTTTCTGGCATACAGTTCTGTGGGTTTCAACAAATGTCATGTATTCGCCACCACAATACTATACAGAACATTTCAGTCACCCCCAAAATTCCCCTGTGCTGGCCCTTTACAGGTAACCACCTCCCTCCCCCGCAGCTCCTGGCGACCACTGATCTGATCTGATCTGTTCTCTGCCCTTTTAGTTTTTGCTTTTCCACAGAGTCATGTAAA